TTCCTTTCTTTCTTTCTTTCTTTCTTTCTTTCTTTCTTTCTTCCTTTCTTTCTTTCTTTCCCTTCCTTCCTTTCTTTCTTTCTTTCTTTCTTTCCCTTTAAGGCCAAGCTGATGTTGAGCTCACTCTAGCTGAGGATGGCCCTGAGCTTCAGATTCTCCATCTCTAGTGCTGGGATTTTGAGCATGCACCACCATGCCTGGTGTACTCAGTGCTGGGGATTGTGTTCCAGACTCTTGCATGCTCGGCAAGCGCTCGACCAACTAAGATGCATTTCCAGCCCTGAGTCTTCCTCTTTTAATCCACTAAAGTATGGCAGTGACAAGAAAAACAGAATAGATAAGCACACAAACATTACAATGTGTATACTCACTTTGGTACTTACAAAGGCTTCTCTCACTGGAGTTAAATTACAGACTGGCTTATAAACAAGATTTTATCAGAAAGGGGCTGGGTGTACTGAGTGGTGATGGAGTTTACGCAACAGCTTATATTGAATCTGAACTCTCAGGAAGGTGGTAGTGTGCAAAGTGAAGAGACAGCTTTCTTTAACTCGGTGTGTTGTTTGTCTCAAGTCACTGAGCTTAAGGGGTAAATAATAGGTCGGGTAAAAGTCCAGTCTAGGTCCTGTTACAAAAAGAACCCACCTGAAGTCATCACCACCCCAGCCTCTCCCACAGCCTCCTAGTCACCTGCCCTAAGTGACCTCTTCTCTTTGTTGTATTTCCACTTCCCTCCTACCTTGCTGTGGAATATTAGTTGACACTATGTTACATTCTTTTATGCTGTGAAATATTTGTTCAATGATGCAAAGATGCGCTGCATTTGTTTAACTCTGTAAAGCTGTGTTGTCTTGTCTACCTAAAATATCTGATTGGTTTAATAAAGAGCTGAACAGCCAATCGCTGGCAGGAGAGGGATGGGTGGGGCTGCTAGGCAGAGAGAATAAATGAATAGAGGAGAAGAAGGGAAGAGCCAGAAAAGGAGGAGAGAGAGGATGCCCATGGGCCAGCCACCCAGCTGCACAATCACCCATGGAGTAAGAAGGAAAGAAAGGTATATAGAGGCAAAAAAAAAAAAAAAAAAAAAAAAAAAAAAAAAACCAACAGGGTAGATGGGATAATTTAAGTTAGAAAAGCTAGCTAGACACAAGCCAAGCTAAGGCTGCACATTCATAAGTAAGAATAAGTCTCTGTGTATTTATTTG